TTTAAAAAAAATTAAATAATGTTTTAGATGTATATAACGGTCCTAAATATAGGCTTGACTCAGAAAGTAAATTAGCTCGTAATTGTGTTTCGGAAATTAGTTCCGTTGTACGCATGCTGAAAAAAACTTCAATGGGTATTTACGCATGCTGTTTTCAAACAATTGCGTTTTCCATTTAATGCATGCGTTGCTGTACGCAAGGTAATTGAAAGTAATTGGGTTTTGAATAGTTTTGAGGGGTATTTTACGCAAATTAGCTGCTCATCTGTAGCTCTGTGTCAATGACTGGTTTCCCTGAGTCTTGAGTATTTACTGGCTGCCGTTTTGTATTGTGAATATTGCCAAGTGCAGTGATAAACAACAAACAAACAAATCATCAGCATGATCAGACTGGACAACGCTGTAGGGGAGATACGTTTGTATTGGTCAGTGGTCTGACCATTGGCCTCCATTGAGACAACCCTGGATGGACACTCTCATACAATAGTGTATTGATTGTGCTGGGAATGAGGATCCAGTTATTGTAGCCTGTTAATTGTAGGCCTCTTTTATTAATAGATATGGATTGTGACAAATACTGTGAGGGTTACTATGGCAACCACTGTACTTATGACAGTTGGGACACACTGTTTGATGCAAATTGTATGCAGAGTATTGTTATGAATAATTGCAAACCATTTTAATTTTCCTTGTCGTAAGAGGCAACTAACGGGATTGGGTGGTCAGTCTCACTGACTTGGTTGAACCATGTCATCGGTCCCAATTGCATCTGGGTCAGAATAGGTCTTCAGCAACCCATGCTTGCCGTGAAAGGCGACTATGCTTGTCGTGAGAGGTGACTATCGGGTGGTCAGTCTCGACTTGGTTGAAGCATGTCATCGATCCCAATTGCGTCTGAGTCAGAATAGGTCTTCAGCAACCCATGCTTGCTGTGAAAGGCGACTATGCTTGTCATAAGAAGCGACCATCGGGTGGTCCGGCTCGCTGACTTGGTTAATACATGTCATTGTATCCCAGTTGCATACATCGATGCTCTGACATGATGTCAATCACTGGATTGTTTGGTCCAGACTGGATTATTTACAGACCACTGTCATATACATGATATAGCTGGAATATTGCTGAGTGCTCAATGCATCTCAAAGAAGGATCTTAGTCTATGATAAAGTAGGGTTTTCAAAATGCATTCTGTTTTCTGGTTAATAAATAATTTAGTTCTGAGTCTTTCTCAGTATGTGAAGAATATGAATTTTGTACTATATTAATACATGTATAAATCATGAGCATGATGAGTCACAATGATCACACTCTCTTGATAATAGACCCATAACTAGAATTAATGACGAAAGGTTTATTTGTAGGCTACATAATTATGCATGAACATGATCAGTAAAAGTGTTGACTTTTTTGTAACTGTTTAAGAAAATAATACCAGAAAACCCCAAACAGTGTACTGCCAAGGCAGGGTCCTTGCAGGATTCGCGCTATAATTTATTGGTTTGCGCTTGATATATTTCGCTCAATTTGACATCGGGCGCATTCATGTAGGTGGGTTTATTAATATAATTATGTGAGTCTTGTAGCTGAAATATTGTTGAGTGGGCCATTAAAAATACAGACAAACAAGGAAGTCGTTGCAATTGCTCAGAAGCCTTCAGCCTATTGTAGATAGAGATTTCAGTGTAAAATTGAATAAAATTAACCATTGACTAGGATGATACGTATTGCAATTTTTTTTCTGTCTGCTGGTATTTTTAAGTAAATAAACATAACAAGTTTCGTCAATTGTGTCGTTTGAATTAAAATCTGGACAGAATTTGATTCACAAATGACATTTCCCTTTGGAGTTGATTTTTTTTTCTCTCACTTTGTAAACTCTCCTGTTTCTATGACTACGGACCGCCCCCATGTTCTAGTGGTATATCGTCTGCCCAGAGAGCGGAAGGTCAGGGTTCGATCACAGGCCATATCATACCCAAAGACGTTAAAAGATGGTACTTGTTGTTACCCTACCTGGCGCTCTGCATTAGGGGCTAAATCAAGGACTGGTCGGCTCGGAGTCAGTATACTGTGTCTGAGTGGGGTATTCATGTCAACCTGCGACATGGTATCTATAAAATTGGATTAGTCCAGACTAGTAAACGCACGCATGCTGAGGAATATTTATTTCAGTATGTAGAAAATAGGATCTGTATGTACAATCAGTGTCAATCACTATCTAACATCTTAGCTCTCAATAATTAAGAAATAAACGACGAGTGGAAGTTGTTTATCATACAATAAAATACTGCAGGGAGACTAAACCATGAGGGGGGTCATCAAGCTGCGAGGGCATGTTCGAAATCTCCAGAAATGACGTCATGATACTGATGATAGAACAATGTTTTATTGTGAAATAAACCAAACTTCGTTCTTCGGTGTTCTTTGTGATTTAACGCGTAGCTCTCTGATACCTGTGTCAGAATATATTGCAGTACAATTCTTTTGCCAATAAATTGTCCTGTCATTGACATTGATTGAAGCTACAACTTCGAGTGTAGTTCTTTCTATTATCCAACTTATGTGACATGCAAGATTTGCTTTGATGATCCCAACAGCCAAATGTTTTTGCTGCCCCAGTAAATGTTACCTGTCCATTCACAGTCTGTGACGATTCCGGGGTAGAATAGGTCTTCAGCAACCCATGCTTGCCGTAAAAGGTGACTATGCTTGTCGTAAAAGGCGACTAACGGGATCGGGTGGTCAAGCTCGCTGACTTGGTTGATGCATGTCATCGATCCCAATTGTGCGGATCGATGCTCATGATATTAATCACTGGATTGTCTGCACTCAGCAATATTCGAGCTTTATGACGGCGGTCTGTATATAATCGAGTCTGGATCAGGCAATCCAGTGATTGACATCATGAGCATTGATCCAAGCAATTTGGATACGGTGACATGCATCAACCAAGTCAGTGAGCCTGACCACCCGATCCTGTTTGTTGCCTCTTACGACAAGCATAGTCACCTTTTACGGCAAGCATGGGTTGCTGAAGACTTATTCTACCCAGATCTTTGTGGGTCAAATCCTGAAATAGAACAATGCAGTCACATCATCACACTCAAGGAAGTCGATACGCAATGTCCATCATGATTTATGAGGTTATTTCAGTCGACTGTTTTATGCTGTTTGTATGCATCAACACTGCCTCTCATCTACCATTTCAAAAGGAAGTTTCAATGGTGTATTGTCCATCACAGGAAAGCATGATTTGTGTATACCATTGTATACACACCAGTGTGTGTTTGATTTCATGACAGTTTTCAAGGAATATTAACTCATAACAATGCACAATGATCCTATCATGTTGTCAGATGTGCCTTTATAATGCATTACTGTGTTATTAAACCACACATTGCCATACTTTTTCACACAAGGTCGGACAAAATAAAAATGAAAAGCTATGTTTATCTGTCTGTCTGTCTGTCTGTCTGTCTGTCTCTCTATCTCACTATCTCTCCCTATCTCCCTATCTATCTATCTATCTATCTATCTATCTATCTCTCCCTATCTCCCTCTCTTTCTATCTATCTATCTATCTCTCTCTCTATCTCTCTATCCATCCATCCATCCATCCATCCATCCATCCATCCATCCATCCATCCATCCATCCATCCATCTATCTATCTATCTATCTATCTATCTATCTATCTATCTATCTATCTATCTATCTATCTATCTATCTATCTATCTATCTATCTATCTATCTATCTATCTATCTATCCATCCATCCATCTATCTATCTCCCTCTCTTTCCATCTATCTATCTATCTATCTATCTATCTATCTATCTATCTCCCTCTCTTTCCATCTATCTATCTATCTATCTATCCAAATTACGTAGATTGATGCTCGTGATGTCAATCACTGGATTGCTGTCCAGACTTGATTATTTACAGACTGCCGTCATACAGCTGGAATATTGCTGAGTGTGGCGTTAAACAACAAACAAAACTTAAACTTGGCAGAAACTTGAAAAGGCCTCATATTTGACTCTTCCTGACAACCCCGACATGGGTACAATGTGTGAAGCCCATTTCTGGTGTCCCCTCCCTGATATTTCTGGAATATTGCTAAAAGCGGCGTAAAACCAAACTCACTCACTCACTCTGCCTGACAAGGCCCTGAATAGGTTGAATGAGGCAGCCATGGTTAACTCTGCTGTTTGTTAAATATACAACAATTGTTGTTTTGAATGATAAATCGACCCATTGATAAATAATAAATAGTGAAACTTTGGTATGTCAGAGATAGAAATGTGTTTTCAAGCGTGTCACTGGGCACTGTTTAATATATTTAGGTGTGGCCTTTAGAATTAATGTTTGCTCAATAGAAGATTAATGTTGAGTCATCATCCGTCTAAGCCAACAGGCAGCAGTAATTCTGATAGTTTCCCCCTTCCTTTCCATTGGATTCCGGAGTAGAATAGGTCTTCAGCAACCCATGCTTGCCCGTAAAAGGTGACTATGCCTGTCGTAAAAGGCAACTAACAGGATCGGGTAGTCAGGCTCGCTGACTTGGTTGATGCATGTCATCAATCCCAATTGCGTGGATCGATGCTCATGATATTAATCACAGGATTGTCACTTCCAGACTCGATTATTTACAGACCGCCGTCATATAGCTGGAATATTGCTGAGTGCGGCGTTTAACAACAAATCAAGCAAGCTGTTACAGTCCCATGGTTCAAGTACCTGTTACAGTCCCATGGTTCAAGCACCTATTTCAAGCACCTGCTACAGTCACATGGTTCAAGCACCCATTACAGTCACATTTTTCAAGTACCTGTTACAGTCACATGGTTCAAGCACCCATTTCAGTCACATGCTTTAAGTACCTGTTATAGTCACATGGTTCAAGCACCTGTTATAGCCAAATGGTTCCAGCACATGTCACATGTTACAGTACATGCTTCAATAACGTTTTTCTTTCTTCATCTTTTCTCTCTTTTTTTTAAGGTAACAAGACTCATCATCCACTCTGGCAGAAAGTCAGTCAGGAGCTATACAGTTGGCAGCTCATTCAGAGTAAGTGCATATATCACAGATGATTGAAAATGTTGTCCAATGGTACTTCTTGTAACCCTAATGTTAAAAGTTAAAGATTTTAAGGGCCCCTTGTTTGAAACACTCTCAGAGCAAACCTTCAAAAATCCCTGGGAAACCCTTAAATTGAAGACCGTTTTTGTCAGCACTGGTGCCTTTTGGTGTAAGTGACACAATTTACTTTTGTGCAAAGTTGCTTCCCTTGGCCAAACCAGGATCAAACTTTTCGTCCACAAAGTTATGTGGCGTACTATGAGTATCATATCTTAACCTATCTTCCCTTACACAAGAATGTCGGATTCTGATTGGCATTCTATTATTTTCAATGCACCCTGCTAAATTTCTTATATTACCTGCTCGAATTGCCGAACTGTTGACATTACATTTGCAACATACCAACCGAAATATTTTCCTATTGAAATTTGGGGCGGTCGGGTAGCCTAGTGGTTAAAGCGTTGGCTCTCCACGCAGAAGACCCGGGTTCGATTCCCGAAATGGGTACAAAGTGTGAAGCCCATTTCTGGTGTCCCCCGCTGTGATATTGCTGGAATATTGCTAAAAGCGGCGTAAAACAATACACACAACCCAACCCTATTGAAATTGATCTAGGGGGAATAACTCGAAGTTTGTTTTCCGTCGTCTGCTAAGTGGATAAATGCCTAACTGTGGTATTTTACCGATGCATAAGACATACCTGCAGTATAATTATGTGTGCAGTAAGATACATTTGTTGTCCACCGGTCCCTCAGGTGACTTCAGTTGTTATCATACCTCCATGTCAGAATGATGAGATCTGATTGGTCCACATGATGTTGATAAAATACTGTGTAACCTGCCATGGAGGGTATATAGAATACCAATCTTATGAAATGAGTGAATAGTTCCGGTATCTGATGAGCAAAAGCGAGTCAGATACCACAACTGTTCACGCACAGTCCACCTTTAGAATTCAGGTGTCCGTTCAACAAAATTATTGTAGCTAAGGTTATCGTAACTCACATACTTTAACATAGACTTACGACTGTCGTTGTGCTAAGATCGCCCTGTGGAATGGCGCCTTGCTCCTCAAAGTTTACATCACGTCACAATACCTGATGACGTAATTTGTGGAATTTTGTTGAAAGATCCATTGGCGAAATATTTTCATGTGACGTCAGCCTAGCAACAAGGTTGCTGGGATCATAAGCTCCTCTCAGTGATCTATCATCTCCACATGCAATGTCGTTGAATAAGCCAAGGGGTATTGAGAGCTTTCAATATTTGTTCGCGAAACTTGTTCCGAGAGTAATGTGTAATACAGGTGTATGTTTTTTAAACGGGTGATCTCTTCACGGGCAAGTAATAAAGTAAATTTGTCAGCAGGGAAATAAATCTCTTATACCCCGCCATAAGCAATACAGGCTGTACATGGATTTCTGAGAGGCAGAAAAAAAATCCCTTATACCCTGCTTCCAAGCAAAAAGCTGCTGATTCTTCCGAGTCAGTGGAAGTCACGTGACATAGGTCAGGTTAACCTAAGCCTAATCGAACAACTGTTTTCTATCAATTTTGAATTTATGTTAATTCTTTTACAATTTCACATTAAAACATGTTGGTAAGATAAATTCGTTGTAGCAGGATCACGAGGAGTACATGGCTCAGGCTGGTGGTATCAGACTTAACGCGAGACGCATAAAAGCCCAAGTACCCCTCGTGATCCTGCTACAATTGATAATGTGCCCTCTATGTTGTTTATGTTCCCTTCATAGCAGATTAGCTCGGGGAACAGGAACTAACATAGACGGCACATCAACCCATGTTCCCTCGGGACCAGTGGACAACTTCTAATGTTCTGTTTGTGTTACTTGAGCTACATGGTAGGATTTTCATTTGGGAAAACACCCTTGAACATCCGGATTAAAATAGGTCTTCAGCAAGCCTTCCTTTTTATAAATGGCGACTATGCTTGTGGTAAGAGGCGACTAACAGGATGGTGTGGTCAGGTTTGCTGACTTGGTTGATGCATGTCATCCCAATTGCTTGGATTGATGCTCATGATATCAATCACTGAATTGTCTGGTACAGACTTGATTATTTACAGACTACGTCATATAGCTAGAATATTGCTGGGTGCGGCGTTAAACAAAAAACAACCAACCAATGAAAGACCAAGTTGAGTAAAATTTTGTTTGCTCTAGTGAACTCAGCTAGTAACAGTCTGATAATATCGAAGTCATCAATACTCATAGCATAGTTTGGGCAAGCAGATTCATATGTTTCTGGCACAGACCGCAATGGTCCTGCTCATTATAATCTGTCATAGATTGACGAACACTGACTCTGGGGCACGAGTCCGCAGTTTTCTGTGCAGAGTTGTGTCCCTTGGGCACACTAGAAACCTGTGATGGTGGGTTCGAATCCCGGTTCACCTTGATAATGTATTTCAGGTTTTTCAGCAACGTAGGCTCGTTTCACCGAAGTTGTAACTGGCTGAGATATGCATCACTTCAGGCTTTCCTCTCACATCTAGCCCGTGGTCTTGTGGTAGAGCATCCGCCTGGAGAGTGGAAGGTCCGGGTTTCGATCCCCGGCCGCGTCATACAAAAAGACGTTAAAAGATGGTACTTGTTGTTACCCTGTCTGGCGCTCAGCATAAAGGGGCTAAAACAAGGACTGGTCGGCTCGGAGTCAGTATACTGTGTCTGAGTAAGGTATTCATGTTAAACTGAGGCATGGTATCTCAGTGAGCTAGCACTATAAATCGGCATTTGTCCGGACTAGTACAAGCAACAACACACCCACACGTGCATGCACGTCGCTATATAAGTGCAATAATCTTGGACGTGACAAGCTGACACATCTAGCTGACAAGCTGTAATGTAACTAGAATACTGTTGAAAGGGGTGTAAACGCATGTCACTCACTCACTCACTGCTACGGGTCTCCCGCTAATGTCCTGCACTGCTTCCTTGTTTCAGTACAATGACCTGAAGGTTAGCCTAACGGATGACCCACAGCCCAAACCCCCAAATGACAAGCTGGTGTTCGGACACCACTTCTCCGACCACATGCTGGAGGTGGCGTGGAGCAAGGATGGGGGATGGAAGGCACCAGAGATTGTTCCTGTCCACGACTTCAAGATGCACCCTGCCGCCAAGGTTCTTCACTATGCCACAGAGGTGAGTCAATGTTCAATGGCAATGATGAAGTTCTTGTTTTGGAATTCGATTTCCAAAACTGATACCCTTCCTTTTGGATATGCTGTCAATATTATGGTTGATGCTTCCATATTAAGGCCATGGAGCAGATTGAGGTTAGCAGAAAGTGTATCTGAATTGTTTTTGATGACACTTTCTTTGAATGTAAAATACTCTTGTCACTAAATTTTGTTTGGACGAGGCACTGCTTTTGAACTTTTTCAACTCACTCACGCACTGTCCAGTCAAGTTCTTATCTGGAGTAGAACTCAAACTTTACACTCATACAGGTGATGAACTGATGCATTTTTCAATTCATATTTTGACATTTTGGGGATTTTCCATTATGTCCGAGGCAACAAGTTGGACCTATGTTTGTCGTGAGAAGCACACTTAAGATTTGGTGGTCAGGGTCGGGGATTTTGGTGATTGCGTGATCATACCTTGACCATGTTGTGTTCTTGTGCCTGATTTCATGTGACAATTTTCACGTTTGTTCCATTTTGATCGTCTATGTACAATGATGAAGTGATTATCCTGAAGTAAATATATGTAACATATCTAATGGTACAAGGAGAAGAGATGACAAGACAATTGTTGGGAAGCCAATTAATCTGTATGCTAGGCACAGTCCAGTTTACGGTCCAGTCCATGGTCCTGTCCATGGTTCAGCCTATGGTCCAGTCCATGGTCCATTATAGGTCCAGTACATGGTCAAGTACATGGTCCAGTACACGGTCCATTATAGGTCCAGTACACGGTCCAGTACACGGTCCATTATAGGTCCAGTACATGGTCCAGTACACAGTCCATTATAGGTCCAGTACATGGTCCAGACCATGGTTAAGTACATGGTCCTGTCCACGGTCCAGTCCACGGTCCAGTCCACGGTCCAGTCCACGGTCCAGTCCACAGTCCATTATAGGTCCAGTCCACGGTCCAGTCCACGGTCCAGTACACAGTCCAGTACAGGGTCCAGTACACGGTCCAGTCCAGGGTCCTGTCCACGGTCCTGTCCATGGTCCAGTACACCTGGTACACCTGGTTCAACTGGTACAACTGGACCTGGGCTGGGCTCCTCTGTCTGGTGGAGATCCCAAGCTGGTGCTGATGAGAGCAGAATGTCTCATCCTGCTTTCCATAAATCACAAACCATCACTTCAGCAGTTTATTGCTCCTGTCACCCAATCTTTTGTGAGTGATGCTGATATATTTATGTCATTGCCACACCTGTTACCATGAGTTCCTCCAATAACACGGCCTCACAGTTACTGCCTCGTTAACCTTAGAACGAAATGGTGCAAGTAGTAACACTGTGCTTCTCACTTGATATTCTGCTTTGTACATGTATTTATTTGTAGGTGAGGCAAGATAATCATGCATGCCTATGATACGAAGTGATGTTCTATTCATAATTTGGCTGTGTGGAAGCTTTGTGGTAAGGCCTGGGTTTGACCGGGACAATGTTTGCAGCTGGTTTCTGGTGTACTGTCGTGATATTGTTGGAATATTGCCAAAATAATTATAAGAATTGTATATTTAATAGTACACTGAGCTTGCTGAATACTTATGGGTCAACTTAGCCATAACCTACGAAAGCCGAGTCAAGAATGAGAAATACTGGGTCAAAATTTGTTTGTTTGTTGTTAAACGCCACATTCAGCAATATTCCAGCTATATGATGGCGATCTGTAAATAATCGAATCTGGACCAGACAATCCAGTGATTGATATCATGAGCATCAATCCACGCGATTGGGATACCATGACATTCATCAATCAAATTAGCGGGCCTGACCACCCGATCCCGTTAGTCACCTCTTACGACAAGCATAGTCGCCTTTTACGGCAAGCATGGGTCAAGAACGAGGTGAGGTGAAATGGGGTTTATCATCACGTCCAAAATTATTGCACTTATATAGCAACATGCGTCTGTATGGCTGCTTGTACTAGTCCGGAGCAATGCCGATTTTTATGGTGCTAGCCCACTGAGATACCATGCCACAGTTTGTTCCCCTCTTCACACTGTTGACAAAAATGACAGTAATATTAAAACATGATCTTGGAAGATCAATCAACCTCCTCACAGCCGTATCCCGTTAGCGAAGCTCTCTACTGCTGCCACCAGTGAAAGCTCCCCACTGTGATAGGTGCCTACAACTATCCCAATTGCTTGGATTGATGCTCATGACATCAACCACTGGATTGTCTGCTCCAGACTCAATTATTTACAGACCGCTGTCATATAGCTGGAATATTGCTGAGTGTGGCGTTAAACAATAAACAAACAAACAAACAAAAAGGTGGCTACAACGACTGACTGTTGTGTTTACAAACAAGTGATGACTGACATGACACTGAATACTCTCACCCTTACTAAATTAGTTTCTTTGTCAATTTGAATTTCTGTTTCTTTATACAGGGATGTGAAATCTCCGCGGAAACGCGGAAAATCGCGTTTTTTAAAACAGTAGTCCTCAGAAAAAATCATCTTCCTCGTAAAAATTTAATTAAAAAATTAAAAAAAATATGATCGAAAACCGGACATTTGGCACGGGTTTTCCTGTTTTCGATCAGGGCTTTCACAAGCATAGGTTTTCGGACATCATATGTTTTCTGTCACGAATACTTGCACTCTAACGTGGGGTGTGGCGTCACACAGAAATTGTAAATACTCAGCTGATGGCTTGTTTTTAAGATAAAGTTGTCTTTTAGCCTGTAAGTGAATGAGATGTTTTACAGTTGTTTATGTGATAAGAGAAAAAACTATGAATGTTTCTTCAGCGTCCAAAACCCCATGTCATGGGGATATATGTTGTATTAATGTCTTATGTTTGCAATGGAGTTTTGTTTTTTCCATCAAAAGGTAAGTACAAGGTAAGTTTTTTTCAATATGCTTCAACATGGGGAAAGGGTCAGACATTGCACGCTTGTGACAGTTGTCCTTGTGTCTGGGGGATGGGGGTTGAAGTTTATGGCAGTATTGCTCCCAGACCTGGCGGGTAGCCAGGTGTGCGTAAGCTATGCCCGATTTTTTAAAAGTACTGATTTAACTTTGAAATTTTACTGCATCTGCCATCTTGTTTATTTGACTTATTGACTTTTGCCATTGACTTATTACATTTCTTGGTGTGAATGTTGTCCAAACTGCACGAAATTGCTTAAAATGCAATCAAATGTTTTAAAAACACCCCCCTAGACTTTTCCTCTTTTTTCGGGAAAACCTGCTCACATCACTGTTTATAACTATCATGTAATTGGTATAGTAAGAATGTAGGGGAGAAGTTGGCTGAATTTCAATTTGTCTGCAATCTCGAACCAATCCAATTAAACAGACGAAAAGGTAAGCTCATCTGGGAAATATGGTCAGTCATAAACCTTTTCAAAATTCACTATGATGGCATTCCCAATGACATAAACAGAAATATGAACGTGACTACTTTTGTGGACAGAGGGCAAGTTTCAATATTCTTGTAATGGCTGCTTCCATTCTGGCACACGCTGGGAAGGAGTTGGGAGATTATTAGGGGAAGGGAAGTAACTCTTCATGTGCCATTCACAGAACCACGCCAAGCACCCTCTTTTTGTCACTTGATTTATTTCATGTCACTGGGGCATGGCTGGCCCAGTCGTCTAAGGTATCACAATTTGCAGAGTTGCATCCCTTGGGAACACCAGGAACCTATGCTTATGGGTTCGAATCCTGTTTGGTCCGGTTATATTTCTGGGTTCGTCAGCACCATACCCGTGCTCGTTGGTTGTCACCGAAGTGGTAAACATCTGAGACCTGCATTACTTTGGGCTTTCCTCCCACATTAAGCTGACACGCCACGATATAACTGGAATTCTGTTCAAAGTTCAAAGTTCAAATTCACTCACTCACTCTTTCAAGTCACCTTATTGATGGCGATCCTGATAAAATGTTTAAGCGTTCAAAAATACTCTTTTGCAAACTGTACTTTAATTCTATTCCCGGCCTTTGTTCAATAAAACAATCATAAAATGGAAGAAATATATTTACAAATGTTTCTGTGATTAATAATTTCCCAACTAATGTTACTGAAAAACGTATGGAAAATCATATACATAACCGATAAGATCCAGATGTTGAAACAATGGTAAGGTTTTGACAATTTCGCAGCCCATCTTCTACGAAAACATCCGTGTAATGCGTTCTTAGTATTTGATATACATGCCACATAACAACATGTATGCATCGTCACACCGCTGTCAGATGTGTTGTCATTGTAGATTCAAAAGTAGCATGACGGCACCTTCTATTCTTTTGTAAACTAAATATATGCCTTTCCTTTATGGGATTAAGTATCATATTTCATGTATATTGCGCATCACAATTTCATGGCTGTGGACACTGCTATCTGCTCAGCAACAATAAAACTATTGTCAATATGTCAGTATACAATATAGCTTTGAAATGTGGTGCATTGCAGTGAAAGTTTCATTTGTAATTAAGCACCAATTTATGGTTATTTTTAATGTTTTCTTTTTAACCCAGCATCCTCCTTAACTTTGCAGACAATTACACAATGAAATTCACATGCTTGAGTTTCATGATTTGGGAATAACTTTAGTCCCTCACCAGCGAACCATGAGACCCAAATTGTAAAACATGACTTCTGGCCAAAATTTGTCCGATTATGCTCCTTGGTCTGTCAGGGTCCTTGTATGTTTCGCAAACGTTTTGTGTTAATATGTAATCTGAAATAATAATAATATTAGTAATAATAATAATATTCATTATGTGCCAAATCCACAGCCTAAAGTATGCTCTATGAACTACATTATTATCCAATACACTCCATTTTCATTCTCTGCTCCCTGGGAAGTATACAACCCAAGCTTAAGTCACATTGCCATCTCAGTACTGTTGAAAGCGGTGACAAACCCAGCTTCTTCGTTTGCACCTGTAAAAAGAATAACTAGTCTCATTTCTGACTACTGTGGATTTATAGCGAACTCAAA